CCCCAAAACCCCAAAACCCCAAAACCCCATGCGACTTAGTAATCCCATAAAATGGGATTATAAAAAAGCCAGGAAATTTATTATAGTAAAAATATTAATAAAATTAAGCAATATTTCTAGATTAGTCCAATGGGTGCAAGTCTTGTTTATTTGGATAGACCAAAAACTTAGAAAGAAACAATAACAGGAACTGGGAAAAATCACAAGTTTGCTTGTTCTTCAATGTAGGGTTGGCGTTTAAATATGGTAATTATGTTAATTTACAATAGCAATATTTAACTATTCTCGAAACAATATATTAATTTTCTCGTATAGGAAGATGCTCACATTTGTAATCCTAACTTTGAAAATAATGCTTCACTATATGGTGTATTTGATGGCCATGGTGGAATTGAAGTGGCAGAATACTGTTCTAAAAATTTTGAAGAGATTCTTCATGCTTCACAGAATTATAAGATGAAAAATTTTGATTTAGGTTTGCAAGATGCTTTTTTGAAGATAGATGAAAGTTTAAGTACTCCAGGAGGAAGAAGATAACTTCAATAAATCCAAGCTTCATATCCACCTTAAGTATCACCAATTGAGAGAGCATTAATAATGGCTGGTAGAGGTAAAATATGATCGGTTTATTTTTATAAGATCCTATTCAACTGAACAATCCAAATGATTTGGCTGATTCCAAAGGTTGTACTGCTAATGTATTACTCATCAAAGATAACATATTATATGTTGCTAATGCTGGAGATTCTCGCTGCATTATATCAGTAAATGGGAAAGCTATTCCTTTATCAACAGATCATAAACCGAATTTAATATAAGAAAAAACAAGGATCTTAAAAGCTGGCTCTTCAATCTCAGCTGATGGAAGAATTGAAGGGAATCTAAATCTATCAAGATCTTTAGGTGATTTAAGATACAAGAGGAATAAGAACTTGACTGCTAAAGAACATCCAATCACTGCATTCCCTGATGTTAAATAATTTGCGCTAGGCTCCACAGTCGATTTTGCAGTCATAGGTTGTGATGGAATTTGGGAAACCAAGAATAATTAATAAGTTATAGATTTCATATCTCAATAGAAAAAGAAAAGAATTCCACTTGAAAAAATAACCGAGAATCTTCTAGATGCTTTAATATCCCCAAACATTCAAAGAACAGGTAATTATTTTTATCAATAAGTTTTAATGTTAGAGGGTAAAGGCTGCGATAATATGACTGTTATTATTATAGATTTTTCACAGGAGTGAATAATTATCTTTAGTTTAGACATTAGGAAATAAAAGTACCCTTAGTAGTTTTAGTCAGTCTATGAAAGACAAATTGTATAAGAGAGAATTTTAACTTTTATTACAAATTTATCATTCAAATTTATAAATCCCTTTTTTTAAATTGAGGGGTTTTGGGGTTTTGGGGTTTTGGGGTTTTGGGG